TCGAAAAAAAAATGACGTGCATCAAGGTCCTATTATGTTAATGTATGTACCAAATTGAATGAAATCCGTCCATGCATAACTGAGATCCGGGTCCGGAATGGTGAAAATGTGCGATTTCAATGCATTTTCGGCCTTAAAGTGGCCGCCATTTGGCTATCGTTAATGAGATCATGAAACAAATGCACATACATATTTGTGACATGATGTACCTTGTGTGTGTGAAGTTTGAACTCGATCAATCCAAGCATGTCTCAGATACGGATCCAGAACTGAATTCTTTAAAACAAAATGGCCGCCAGTCGGCCATTTCGAACCCGATCCAAAAAAAAAAAATGAAGTGCATCAAGGTCCTATTATGTTTAATGTATGTACCAAATTTGAACAAAATCCGTCCATGCATAACTGAGATCCGGGTCCGGAATGGTGAAAATGTGCGATTTTGATGCATTTTCGGCCTTAACATGGCCGCTATTCGGCTATCGTTAATCGGATCATGAAAAAAATGCATGTGCATATGTCCCATATAATGTGTGATGTATGAGTGAAGTTTGAACTTAATCGGTCCATGCATGTTCGAGATACAGGTGATCATGGACGCACGGACGCACGGACGGACGGACGCACACAGGGCAAAACATAAGTCCCCGTTTTCGGACTGCGTCCGAACGGGGACTAAAAATCCAGCGAATATACTTTTTTTCCTATATTTCACATTAAACTCATCAAAAATCAGTGAAAATAAATTCTATACAAAACGGCCAAAAAGCCTTTTCAGCAAAAATAAATTCCAGCGAAAATAAAGTATTCCACAGTATCTAGTTGGAGCCTCCGAGCCTACAGAGGAAACAACACCTGTTCTTTCTTCATTCTCAAGTGGGGTTTCACTTTACACAGCAACCAAAGCAATTGTTGTTATTTAGGATAACACTTGAACCACAATAAAACAAGCAAACAGAGATTACATTAATCTCATTTGTACAACATAACTGTGTCGTTTTCCCTCACAAATCAAGGCCTGAAAACAGTTTGATTTGGTTCAAATGGCAATTGCCGACCATTGGAATCACCAACTACACTGCTAACAAGTGGAAATTATAGCTTTATATTATCTTCAACATACAACTATGAAATTTTTACAGGTTTCTCATCATCAGATATTATCACAACTACTATGGTTTGTTACCCGTTCTATGTTTCAGTCATTTTCAAGCATTTCAATACAAAAGCAAACCCAGTCAATCAAAATAGTACTCCTCGGTGAGTACTCATCAGATCTCTTCAATTTCTCAGTTATTCTATAAATGAACAAAAAGAATTTTTTTTATAAATTTACGTATTCTAAAAATTTTACTGTCCGAATGTAAAGACAGACACCACAAATTAACAAAACACAAACATAGACCTGTACAACAAACCAGAAAATTTACACAAAATGATTTTGATCTATATTTTTCCAGTGTTTTATTCTGCAATTTTTAATAGCCCTTTTCCTCACAATACTGATTCGAAGTCTCAATAACGGATTTATTTACTCAACGATCATGTGACTACAAACTGTGGGTTACGCATGACATAACTTTGATTTATTTCATAAAATATCTACATTAGGTTGAAATTAGATCAACTTTTGTGAGAATATAATTAAATATACTTTACTCCCAGGAAAACTCTGGGTACTACATCCTTAAAAAATTCCCAGTCAACTAATAATTAATAATTTTCATACAAAAAAATATGATTAAAAGAAATCAGATTGGCTGATCTGCTCTATTTCAATTCATAATTGGCAAATTAGAAGAAAAACATAAATACTCAAGTGTTTTGAAAAACTTTTTAACTTTTAAATTATTGAGAGATATGTTTTTATATATAACACAGAGACTGAACTTCCTCTCACCAGCAGCCTCCTTCTGAGTGATTTACCCATCATGCACTACATGTCACATATTATTTGTGTCAGGGAGTGTGGACCTGTCACAATGACTTTGTGGAAAAACAAATGTAATTTTACCTATTTTTTTGGACCAAGTAGACCACAAACCTGTAGAGAACATGTGAGTAACATTATTATGGTATATCTTGGTATTTTTAATGTGGTTTTAGCTTTAGAAAACACAAACACACAAAGGTACTGCAGGGATCTCACAAGCTCAATGGGAGTGCTGGTTGTTCATGAATATTAATGAGTTATATGAATATTAATGAATAATGCATATTAATGAGATTGGTCACAAAGCAAATACTTTTTTTATTCAAGTCAATCATTTTTTATATAATCAATGTAGTATTCTTGTATTCATCTGCATAAGTGGTTCAAGATATACAGTACTTCCTAGATTTGAACAAATTACAAAAACAAAATAGTTTGAATTTAAAAATGAAACACTTTCTAAACACGAAATGCAAATGATACAAACTAAAAACTTTATTTGTACCATCATCTCCTATATTTATATTTACAGTAATGAACGAATCAGTAATACTTGCAAACGATCATCAATGCACAAATTTTTACTTCGTTTTGATATGAAATACAAGTAAAATTTTGATCACTTGATCACTTCGTTAAAACACACAGACCTGCCATGAAGTTTGTGGAGCGTTAGTTGATCAGTGGTACATGTAGGTCAGAAATGCCATTAACCAATCTGAGTGCCGCAAAGTACTGCCGGTTGAATTCTGAGTTTTCCGAATAGTAGTGATCATAAAA